ATATATATATAATTATATATATATACATATATATACATGCTCTCTTTCATTCACAGATTCTTGAATAAACGTAGAATCCATTTATAATAAAATTTTGGCAAAAACTCTCTGGGTTTAATATATAAAGATATTTAAATATTAAAGATTATCTTTTCCCCTTTTGGTCCAAATCTGCTGTACTGTGTGTAAGCATCGTATGTCGCAACGGAGACCTCAAAACATTGCCAATTACGCTCGCGAATAACAAAACGCCCTAAAATTCTGTCTTGAGTACCTGTACATTATCTTCGCATCCGGTCAGAGAGATCTCCGGGCTAGAGATATCCCCGACGCTCGGCTCGATCTCATCGGCCTCCATCGCCAGGGTTGCTAGGCTCTCTGCGCCGCACGTACCAGATGCTTGGCAGCGCGCCTCACATTTCTTGTGACATACCATGCCGCAGTCTCGACACTGCACCGCATCCTTCAGCCAAATCTGCGCACAAAGCATTCCAGATAATCTCAAAGTAGAATAAACGTAAACGATGAAAATAAAATGAGATAACGCTGATCCTTTATGATGTAATGTCTTGCATTTCACAGATTCCGGGTGTGACAAATTTTAGTTATGCGGATCCGTAATTAAACGGATCTCTGTCTAACACGTGGACAATCGAGTATAAATTCTTGATTGCGTGTGAATCGCTTCACTCGATGGCAATTACCTTTTTCGTACAAAAATCGCAGTGCGTCGCCCTGTGGAAGTGCGTCCTGATAAAATCGTGCATCTTTCTGTCGGCGACTTCTTCGCTCGTGATCAGTTGAGTTTTGGCAGCTTCCGCGTTCTCCTTCTTCCCAGAATCACCAGTCGCGTGATCGCTTGGTCGGCAAGACTCCCACACATATGACAGCAGAATGTCGCCATAACAGAGCGTCGGATCGAATCCCGAGTAGCCGTGTAATCTTACGTAGGACGTCGCCAAAGAAGCTTTAAAACATATTGTAATTACTCTCTGATTAATTCTCCTTTGACAGAGTCGAGATTTGATTCCATAGAAAATACACTGCGTGAAAATTAGCGTGAATTTTATATGAAAGTAAAAGTTTGCAATTATATTGCAATAAGAAGTTCTGTAAGTTTTGTTACACACTTACCACTTTCCGGCGGCAACAAGGCGTGACATTTCAAATAATGTCCTGTCGAAGAGGTGCAGCACTGTGCCAGGATTAATTTCACAGGCGCGTTTATGTAGCCCAGCAATCTCGAGGGCGTCTCACCACCCTTCACGCGGCCCCACACGCCCACGTTCAGATACTGCAGCTCGGAATCGATCCGAAAGCTCTTGGTCTCCTCGAAGGTGATAAGAGAAGCGTACGGCTTCTCCTTCGTGCTATAGTACAAATCGGCGACGTTCATCGCGCTGCTGTCGTCCGAAAGATAAAACTGAACGTTACTGGACGACGCCGACGACGTGGAGATCGTCGAGATCCGTCGAGACGGCGTGGTTTCCGGTGTCTGAGCAGCGTCTTCCGTATGAATGCTGCTCTTCCTCCTTTTAAAACAGCTTGCTCGTGTCCGGTCGTACGTCCGCGAGATCGACGTCGGAGTCCCGTAAGTCTGAGAACTTGATTTGCGTCTCGAACTTCATCTTCCCGGCGTCTTCCGCGTTCGGACTGTCCACCCCTGCTCTGCACACGGAATCGATGCTCTTCGATGCTTTCCTCTCGCCAAGAGACGTCCTCTCGCTGTCCGTTTTCTGCCCCCTCTCGCTCGAGTCCGCCTTCGAGTATCGTCTCTCCACCCTGATGATGAAGCGTCGCTGCACGGCGGACTTGACGAACTTCGCCACTTGATTCATGCTCGACACCTTCTTGCCGTCCACCGCCACCAGAATGTCGCCCTTCCTCATCTCGGCGATCGCCGCCGGGCTACCGGACACTATGGTTTCCACTAGCACGCACATCTGACCGATCTCCGGCACGACCTCCTGCTTGAACACCACGCCCAGCTGCTGGGAGCCTGTCTTGCTGATGATCAAGTCGAGCACCATGTACGGGACGCCGCTGTACTGCGTCAAGTATATCCACGGAGTGGAATCTACGCTGATCGTGCAATATACTTCCACCTGCGACATACCGTCCTCGCTGTTGAAGGTGATAGGCGCGAGATTTAGTCTGCTGATCTCCAGCAATACAACCTCCAAGTATCCCGGAGTGAGTTGAGTGCTAGCAACCTGGTGAAACAATGTGGCGATGTAAAAATGCACTTTGTAAAACTAAATCAAGATACATTCGCCCGGCAAGCGGAAGACCCGGGTTCAATTCCCGACTCGCGCCCTGATATTTTTTCTCTCTTCCTTTCTCTCCAATAATTCCTATATGTAAGTTAATGTTTCTCGATATATGAGAACAATATACTTATAATTTCGTACACATTAGGTATCTCAATCTGAGATCGGTGTACAATCTAACTGTCTCTTGTAGACTAATTTATTAAAAAATTCTTTATGAAAATAAATTAAAAATTTAGCACTAACATCCTGCGACGGCTCTTGATGCCATTCTATTATATTTCTTAAATCAAGATACTTCAAGATTTTTCGGGGAAAAAGATTGAAATCGGAAGCTAATTTGGCGATTTTCCGACGAATGAATGTAAAGACAACGAATCTTACTTCTGAGAGATCCACGGCTTCATCGTTTAATCTTCGGAAGAATGGCTTGTAACGCATTTTGTAACGAGGTAGAGTGTGCTTTCGTTTCACCGCCTTCCTAATTTGGCTGGTAATGATTGAAATTATCTGCGGCTGTAACTGACGACCTTGGAACTGCGACTGCACTTCCAACTCCAAGATTGGGTCCGAATAAAAGCTCAATGACCAGTGCGTATAAGGTACACGAGTAAATTGTAGCCTAGCTTTACCGCTCACGCGCTTTACTGCAAAAATCAATAACAATACAATAACCCTCGATATCTATTTTCTTTTCCTTTATTCGGTCGCGCAATAACGTACCTTGCAACGCCATATAGGCTGTTTTACCGAGCAGCATTTTAACATCTATAGACAATTGAAAGTTTCCTGAGTAATGTAGATCTAAGGCCAAGTCCAAAGATTCCAGCAAACCAGTGTCGGCGTCGATTTTCGAATCGGCGACTTCCAAGCCCTTTATTGTTGGAAATTGCGTGCCTAAATTCAAGTCTCTCAACTGCAAAAATTATGGAGAATTTATTACAAAAACGCTTTCTCACGCTTCAAAATTCTCAACATTGAATGTTTTCACTGGTGATTCTTACCTTCACGCTGTCTAATAGTTTGGCAGTCGTCGACTGCGTTAACAGCTCCTTAAACTCGTTATTTAACTTTCTATAAAGCCATAGGCGCACTCGTTCGGCGTTTCGCAGCTCGTTAAAGAGGAATTGCAGGGTCAAATTGATCGCTAGGTTCTCATTGCCTTGGGACATTGCCTGGCGGGACATATTGTTGGAATTCGCCTGTTCCTCCTGCATCTGTTCCACCAGCTCCTTAGGTAACTGCGCCTTGCCATGCTGCAGCTGCCTCTGCGGTGAAGCAGCCTGAGGCCCTGACTCTAGGTACCTCTTGAACAAGTAGACTTCCAACGCCAAGGTACATAGTATACCGCAGATGAATGTAATAATAGCTACTAGAGCCAGTTCCAAAGTGTCCATATTAAATTCAACCGCAGTTGAGGATGTGACTTCTGCCTCAACAAGTATTAAGTACAGCACACGTCGAGATGCAAGCTGTATAGACTGTTACGTAAATAACATTGCACTGCGCGTATGTAAGAGACGACTCTCAATGACCATACTAAAGATGAAGTAATTCTCCTTCGGCGAATATCAGCAATAAGATATGTTGGAGCGTTTACTGTCATGTATCACCCCACTATGTGTACGTAACGAGAGAAGAGAGTTCCCAATATGCATATTAGAGCCACAGCTGTCGATACTTCAATCTTTCCTCCATAAATATTAGCAAACTCCAAGATACAGCTGTAAAAAAATTATACAAGTAATATTAAAGTTTGTGTATAAAGTAGAGCAAATTTTTTTTAAACAATTATATAATGCAGAAATGAGAGACAGAGATACGCGTGCAAAAAAATCTCAATTTATTACTATAAAAGCAGGAAAAACTATTTCTTGTCATTCTCAATCATTATATTAGAAAAAAAAAAAACAATGTTTCAAAATTGCATTAATTGCGTGAATAGAAATTGCACGAACTGCGCGAATAAAAATATTTTTATTCTGTCGAGAAATTAATTATGTATTATTATATAACTAAAGCTAATTGAAGGCAGACATAATTTGTTTTTATTAGTGTATAAAAGAAAGTGAAAATACTTGTATAGGAAAGATATTTCTTTCGTTTTGATAAAGCTAATTTCAATTGTTGTATCATATTATTACGCTACTACCTAAGTTTATATTAGGAACTTTCGATACGGCCGATCTCCCTGAGCCCAGCGCATCGCGTTGATCGTGAATCAGCACGGCATCTCCATGGTTCGACAACTATTCGGAACACTTTCACCAGTCTTCACAGATCAGCTGCACGATGTCGGCGTCGGTGGTAGTGTGCGACGCGCGCACACAAAGAACGATCTTCTCACGATGTCATCCGGCAGAATGGCACATTTACAGGCAACAATTGCGAAGTTGTGCCCCGCGAGAAGTCGTCGTCGCGACGACATGGAATGAATACAATTCCTCACGCTCTTCTATCGATTTCTCGGCGGCCATGTTCACGCTTCGTAGGAACAACAGTCAACAGCTGTTCTTGTCATCTTCGTGACAGCGCGTCGACGTGAACTACACTGAAGATTGCTATGAATAAGTTAAGAAATACATTAATTATAGCAGATTTTCAAAGTTAAATTAAATCAAATGTGTGAATAATAAAGTTTTTAATACAAAAATTGTAAAACAAAAAAATTAGAATTAGAATAGATTTAATTTTATTTTATTTTATTAATTTAATTTAATTTTAGTTATTCAAGATTTTAAATATATGAGATAATTAATAAATTGTTGCGATAAATGGTTCTTAAAATAAAAATTTTAAACTGAAAGTAACACAATAAAAAGAATAATAAGTGCAATACTTTAATTTTAAAATTAAAAATTGTACGATTAAAAAGAATCAAAATTATATAATGCAGAAATAAGAGACAGAGATGCGCGTGCAAAAAAAATCTCGATTTATTACTACAAAAGCAGGAAAAACTATCTTGTCATTCTCAATCATTATACTAGAAAAAAAAGCAATGTTTTAAAATTGCATTAATTGCGTGAATCATTAGATTTTTTATTTATTTTCAAGGTTTATTTTAATCGATTAATTTTTAAATTATGCATAAATATCAAAGGTTTGTTCGCGCCACATGCCTCAACGTGCTCCAATATGCTCCAATCTATAGTATTATCTTATAGAGCACGTTGGAGCATACGACGCGACAAACCTCTAGATCAGTGTTGCTAGACGAGACGCTCTTTCGCGCATGAGCGACGCATACATCTTTGATTTCAGCGGTGTATGCTGTAGTACGGTGTAGTGTTGGATGCACAACGAAAAGTTCGATGGGCTACATCAAATAAGATTATATTTGGCAAATACATTGTTTAAATAGTTTAAATATTGTTAAAATCTTTAAACTATTTAATGAAAAAAATTTATTACGCGAAATGGAGTCGAATATTTCAACAATTTTTAAATAGGGGATCTAAAAGTACTCTTTTTTTTTCGACATTAGTACTCTATTGAGACCGATTTTCAAGCGCATGCGCAAAAAAAGCGTCCCGTCTAGCAACACTGCTCTAGATATAAATTGCTCATGGCATTCGCAGAGTGAGAATTTAGAAAGAGAAAGGAAGCTTTGAGGAATGTTGTTTTCTCTCTTGTAGTCTTCACGCGTAAAAAAGTTTTAGTTGTAATCGCGTGGTTACGCTGGTGTAAGCAAATCGATCAATCACAGTGAGCAGTAATGCGAGTGACTCGCTGTGATTGGTCGATTGGCTTAAGGCCTATCCAGACAAACTTGCACAGTTACATAAACATATGCACAAGGAAATTGATTGGTTCATAAGCAAATGCATAAGGAAATGGACCAATCAATTTCCTTATGCATATGTTTATGCGACTATGCAAGTTTGTCTAGATAGGCACTTAAGGCCATCACACACAAAATGACATAACTACATATGCATAGCATATAGAC